CCTCCTGCCTCCTGGCAAGTGGACGCGCCCTATAGCAAAAACCTCTCAAAAAAAAAAAAGTCACAATGGGAAGGGGGAATAGCAAGGAGATTTCATCAAGTGATTGACTAAATTCCATATAATAAGGGGATCAGAGTAACCCCTTAATATTTGCTTAAAATTATACAAAGTGTGGAGACATTAAGTGGAAAACAAAGGAGGAATGTGTCTGCACAATAAGAAACATGTCAAGACCAGCAGTTAGCATAATGGCTATGTAGCTGGACTCCCACGTAGTCAACCGCGGTTCACGTCCCGGACCCAGTGGCTTAAACTCACGCCGGGCACGTGTGCGTGCATGCCCAAGATCCCGAGAGGAGAATGGAGGAGAAGGAATTGCGGCATGGCCATCCCCCCTGGGGGGTGATTTCTCGCTTTCTATCTCTGTCTCTCTCTGTCTGTCTGGCGAGCTCACGCACCCTATAGCAAAAATCTCTCCAAAAAAAAGAAGAGAAAAATGTCTACACAATAAGAAGGTCCACAAAACCAAAAAGTCCAATTAGGTTAGGCAGCATCTTGAGCTATTTCAGATGCCAATTCCTAAGAAAGTCATAAGATGTACACATGTTTTACTTCTTTACAGCACTGATTTAAGTTAACTGGAATATTCCATTTTCAGAGATATTCCAGCGAAAATCTCTCCAAAAAAAGAATGAAAGGCCTTGGGGCCAGCAGGAAGCATGGTGGTTTAGGTGTTAGACTCCCACATGATTGACTGTGGTTGGAGCCCCAGACCTAGTGGCTTGCTTTTTCACTTTCATTCTCTCTCTTTTTTTGCCTCTCTCTGATGAGCATACATGTCCTACAGAAAGACAAAGCTAGTAATAATAATAAATTAAATAATTTTTAAAAGGCCTCTGCTTACCAATAAGAACTCATTTTGAGTCCATCTACCTTTTAGGTATGCTATAACCATACTGACCTTCTTTTGACAACTAGGATATGCCAAAGCCTTTCCTATCAAACAGATGTTCACACATTGTCCCATCTGCCAAGAAGCCACAACTAGATTTTTTGAATGGCTGGCTTAATTTCATCCAAGTCTCAGCTTAAAAAACACTTCCTCAGGGCCAGCAGGTGGCATGGTGGTTAAAGGTGCTGGATTGCCACATGGCCAACTGCGGTTCAAGTCCCAGACCTGGCAGCTTGCTTCCCTTTTCTCCCCAACCCCCATCAAATAGAAATAAACAAATGAATAAATATTTTTTTTTAAAAAATACATTTCCTTGGGGCCATCAGGTGGCATGGTGATTAAAGTGTTGAACTCCCACATGACCAACCATGGTTCAAGTCCCAGATATGGCACCTTGAAACTCACAGTAGGCACATGTGTGTGTGCCTAAAATCCCAGGAGAATGGAAGAGAAGAGATAACAGTGTGGCCATCCCCCCGGTGAGTGATTTCTCACTTTCCCTCTCACTGTCTCTCTGTCTCTCAGTTGACCACGAGTGCCCCATGGCAAACCCTTAAAAAAAAAAGTCACTTCCTCAAACTGTATTACAGATAGTATTATCTAATTAAGTCCTTACCTTAAGTGCAACCATAATAGCCATTCTAACAGCTGAGAAGTATCTCACTGTTTTTTTTTTCCAATATGACAAGTTTTTATTTGTATCAAATTACAGAGTACCATAAGTATATGATTTGAATATTGTAATATAACCTGATATTTGGCAAATTATTTAATTATCCAAAGTTTATTATGTTTGAGTGCACAATGAAGAAATTACTTGGCATAACTTGGTAAGATAAATATTTCTGTATATTATTTGACCATTTATCATGTATATATGTGGTACATTTATGTATGTGTGTGTGTACACACACATACTCCTAGATTAAATATATTTGTATAAAAAGCTAAAGATCGATATTAAGCTTCATTCCTTTAAAAAAAAGATTATATTAAATTACATCTGCATTCAAAGCAGAAATGTAAAAAAAAAAACTGATCAAGTTACTAAATGCACGTGAATTTACAAAGTAACTGAAAATGAAATAAAAATTTCTATTGAAATGTTATATTCCTGTTTAATTGACATTTAGGTGGCACTATCAAACTATGGAAATAAGCATCACTTTTTAGGTTGTAGAGAGACTAAAGATTCTATGAGCATAACCGTACCCTCTAAGTTAAGAAAGAACATTATTATAGTAGCAAAGGATGGCAGGTAATTTCCTCCTTTATTAATATGGGAATTCTCAGGAAGCAATCTGGCAGTGGCTGTACTCCGAGGCTGGGTTCCCTGCTCTCCCATCAGTGGAAGTCCAGCTTCTCCAGAAAGGTGCAGCCAGTTCTCCTGATGATGACGCTTGCTGCATAAAGGCCAGTGCGGACACATTCGGTCAGAGGCTTGTCAGAGACCAGTTGGGACAGAAACCCTCCAACAAATGCATCTCCAACTCCAATGGTGTCAATAATTTCTTTCTGGTCTTGATCCAAGACAGTGAAAGCAGTGACTTCACTTTCTGTAGCCATTATAGTGTCATCTCTTCCCTGGGAGAAGATCACAATTCTCTGCCTCTTCGAGTTCACTTTGGGCAGGGCTTGTGTCTTTTTGGCTATCTCTTTAATGTCTTTAGTCTCAAAGCCTTGCTCTCTAGCAAACGTGGCAGCTTCTGTCTCATTTCCAAAAAGTATGTCAACATAGGGCATAACTTTCATCAATGGTTCCTTGTAGAACTGGCTAATAAATGGTGCAGACAGATTCAATGTGAAAATCCTATTGTTCTCAGAAGCATGTCGAGCCACTTTTAATACTGACTCTGGAGAAACTAAGAAAAAAGCCTGCTATATAACAAATTTGGTTTTTCCACCAATATCCAGTTTTTCTCCAGATCAAGATGTTTTTCCTTTTTATAACAATTGGCAGCAGCAAGATTAGCTACAAGGGACCTGTTGTCACCAGTGATACATGCGGCACAAGTTCCAGTCGGCTGCTCGTTCTGTTCATAGTAATGAGCATCCACATGGGCTTCAGCAGCTTTTTTCTTCAGGATTTCCCCAAATTTATCTACTCCAATGCACCCAAAAAACGATGCCGCTTTGTGTGGGTGCTGAATCATCCACTGAGCCACCTTAATTGAATTCTGGGTAGAGCCACCAGCATGATATTTAACTTCGAATTTTTTTACAAGTTCATCAAACAGTTCCTTGTGCTTGTCTTCAGCCAGGATTTGGTCATTTGGTTTCAGAGAATACTTATCAAGGAAATCTTTGTCCACCACAGCAGAGATGTCATGGAGAGGATTTCCCATTCCAAAGAG